AGGAGAGTGGAAGGCAAAGTGCAAAACAACTTTGAAGAAACAAACAGCAATTCTCAGAACTCCAGCGGTAAGTGTGTTCACTCCCTCCTGCTGTTGCTTACCACATCCCTCTCCAGAGCAGGATTCAGCTGCAATCGGTGATGGTTTATATATGTGGAATACCTTCTTTAAGCTTGCAGACAGCTAGCCTTCCTAGGGTAGTGCCCTCTTCTCAATCATCCCCAGGCTCCTGGCCCTCCAGGGCCTGTAATAAATGAGAATGTGTGGGTCCTGCTCCTGAGGCCCACGTACTTTAGCACAGATTTTTCACTGGGGAGCAAAGATGTAGAGAAAGGGGAATATGAATGGAGATAAAGCGGTACTCATTGTTTGTTTGTGCATCAGTGAAGTCCTTGTGGAGCAAAGCCATTCACAACAAGCAAGAGAAGTTTGAGCACTACGAGTAGAACAGCAGTTTGCAGACTACAGTGATGCCGAATGTGGCAGTTGTTTACACGTCACTGTGTCCAGCTCTTTCTGAGTTTGCTACATGGAGGTCACAGCATATCAAATGTGTAGAGGTGGGACCAGAATACATGTGCCAGAAGGAATTGAAATTTACCCCACTTCTGGAGTTTCCTTTAAGTCCAAGTGGTAGTAACTAAATGTAACCACTGGCCTAGACAACTTTGTTTAGGTACACCACTTACAGAGTTTTCTTCACAAGATTTTTATCCTGCCAATGTGTCTTCCAGCCTTCAAGTGGTACACTGCCATTCTCTTATGCTCCCTAATTGGAGCATAACAGACAGACCAAATGAAATGTAATTTCGACATCTTGATGCAGAGATAAATAACATGCCAGCAGAAAAGGCTGGCCTCCCTCCCTTCCCCATTCAAGAGTACCAAAACATGTGGTGTTACAACGCCGTTAGCTGGAATAGACAGGTAAGGAAGGGATTTCTCCCTGGGGCAGGCTACGCTGGTCTGTTGTGGGGGTTAATGTCTGCATCTGAAGCAAATAAGGGGCTTTGTGGAACCATGTTGAAAAAGAATTAAATGGTGTTGGAAAACCCACGTGCAGTAGCAGAGTGGGTGACAGTGAACGAGAAAAAAAAAGTTGTTACTAAAATACTGTGTATTATGTTTTGGGGAACAATCCTGTACTAATCCAAGCATTCACCACAATTACAGCTATTCATTCGGGAACTGAAAAACCTAAAGAAAAGAGGTGTAAGCAGAACCCATCAGGTGAGCTTGTCTCTGTGTTTCAGGCCCTTGTACTCTTTAGTCCTGTTCCACTTGGGTAGCAGCAGTCAGGAGCCCTTCGGGGCTGGCCAAGTCTGTCTTCAGTCAGCCCAACCAGGCTGTTAGACATGACACAAAACCGTGTAGTTCACTGACTGCCAAGAGTCACTAGCCTGATTTGCTGCTCTGAAGGTGGCCACTTGCCTCTCAGCAGGTCTGTTCCTCATGTCTTGTCTTCTGGGGGTAGTGAGAGTGGTTTGTCTGAAGGGTTTCAAAGCCTTTAAGTGCATGTCTTTAAATGCCAGTATACTGTTTGGGTTCCTGACTCCTCTGGCGCCCTTTGAAAGCAACAGCCTTAGATTGTTCCTTTTTTATTCCTGTCAGGCCCTGTGTAGCCGACAGAGGAAGGGCAGAATTATCTTCCTTCATATCAAACAGCTTGTCTGTAAAGCCAAGAAAGCTGCAGGAGGGGAAAGAAAGCTCTAGCATGGGAGGGGGCCAGGAACCACTGACAAGAAGCACACACAAAAAAAGAGTGTCTGTATTGAATAGTCCAAGACTTTAGTTCTGTCTGAACTGCTGTTATATACTGACCCATTGCTGCTGTGACACATCTCACAGATTCTCCCTGCCATCTCCTTGTACCAGCTCACGTCACGCTCATCCTTCTGAATCTGTTTCTATCTGAACTGCAACATTTCAAGGACATGAGTAAAAGCTCACAGTAAAAATCGAAACAAAGCCAGAAATTCTTACAAACTGAGTAGTGAGTTTCATATGATTTGCTCGTCTTATTTCATTGTAAGAAGTGTTTCTGTCTGCACCGCATGTATGGTCAGTTTATTTTAGTGGCTTAGTCTAGAGCCTGGCAGGCTGCGGGGTAGTTGCGAGGTGCTCACCTAAACTTTTGGTTGAGCCAGGAAACCTGAGGAGCTTGAGTGAGTTGCTCAGAACTGGTTTGAGGGGAGTTGGGCTCTGGTTGGAAGCAGTTCTTTTCTGCATTGGGCAGCTGACACACTCCTCTAAGTCAGACTGGTGCATGGGGATGTTTAAACTTCTTCCCTTTTCCCCCTTCCCTTACCTATTCCGCATCCTCTTTTTTTCCTTAGACTGCTTTCCCCCCTTGACTCCATCTTTGTGCTGCTTCCTATGTGTCCCATTCAGCGCTCTTTTCCAGCTCTTGCCCCAAGCCATTTCCTCTCTTTTATTTCTTCTTGTTCTCAGGAGTCAGTCTAAATGTTCTCATTGATAGCAGCCTGAGTGAGAATCACCGTGTGATTAGAGAGGCCGAGGAAGTCTCTGCAGGCATCTGTGTGTTTGGGTGTCCAAGCAGAGCTCTCAGTAAGGGTTGACATGCCCTTAACTCTTCATTTTCCTTCTTTCCATGGCTGTGTTTCAGTAGGTGGGACAAACTGTGTGGCTCTGTGTTTACATGTGTGATGTGAACTCTTGGGAGTAATTCTGGCATTGTTGGCTTGTTCTCTCTTGTGCTCCAGCCAGCAGCTTTCACGCAGGCAGGGAAGCAGCTGGTGATTATGTGGTTGAGAATGACAGAAGGACGGACACTTCTGTCCTCCCCACTCCCATCTGCTGCTTATCACCAAACTCCTCCTGCTGTATAGAATAGTCCCCAGGTTTGGGCGGTAAATGTAGGTCCCAGTTGAGCAGCCTGAGAGCTGTGTGGCTTGGCCTTGTGAAATGCTTGTTTCCCTGTACCACTTGGTCTTTGTGGATGTGAGTTTTGTGTCACAGGCTCAGTTATAATGACATCAAACAGAGCAGCAGGATTTTTTGAGGCCATCCAGCCAGGTATGTTAAGCTCTTTCCCTGTGTCGCCATCCTGACATGCAGTGTCTGGAGGGGGGGGGAGGACAAGCAGAGCAGGAAGGTCAGCAACCAAAGCCACCTAAAATAGACGTGGATACAATGCTGTAGGGAGTCCGCGGTGGGAATAAGCCAACTAGAAGGGAAAACGTTGGATTTGGACAGCTGTCTCTTCCCTTTGCTCAGCCCCACTCCTTGTCATAGCGCATGCAGGTACCTGGGATCCTGATCTGAGTAACCTGGCATCTCGCTGCCCGTGAAACACCAACAGCTCCTGTTCTGCATGGCAAACACGACTTTGTGGCTGCGTTTCAGCCCACCTACTGGCAGAAAGTCCTTTTCCCAGCAGGGCATGATGGAGCCACGGCGTGGGTGGAGGACTGTTCAGCTGCCATCCACCTCATGATTGGGAGCTTGTCTTTTCTATTAATGGGAAAGAGGCTCCACAGGCCTTT